GAAGCCTAATTTATATTCTTAGTTGAGCTTAGTTAAAACTGATAATATTTACTCTTAACTCTACTTTAACAAATCTTCAAATAATCGCATTTGATAAAATTTGAGCCGATTTAAACTAAAATGTATCATGTTCATGAATTCGTGATACATAATATTATGATTAAACTTGCTTATTATCCGATATTAACAAAATATCATAATTGAAACCGTGGGTACTACCTATAACGTTTGTTTTATTTCAAAATTAAAATTAACGAAGAAAAATGAATAAATAATATAAAACAATATAATTTCTTTAGTCCCTCAGTGCTTGAGTGCTTATTTGGATTTAATAAATATAAATCCAACGCGTGCTAAAAATAGTTTGAATTTTACGATTAGTTTTTTTCCACTTTTATAGGTTTACCTTACGGTCGTATTGAGTGAATATAATTTCACTGCAGCCCTTCACGTTAAATATTTTACGAATATACGTTTTCTTTTTTAATAACGCTTAAGAGATTCATGATTACATGCCATTCATCTTAAATGATTTTTTAACGTTAAAAATACAGAAAAATACACCGATAAAACTAGGGGGTTTAGTTCACTGAATTGATAATCATTAAGATAAATATTAACAATCATATTGCAGAATAATTTAAAAAAAAAAAATAAGAGAGAAAACATTCCGATCATTTTACCTGACTGAAAAAGCACAAAAAACTAAAACAATGATTGATATACATGGAGATTATTATTTATTAAAATATATCTGATAAATAGCTAAATTGTTTATAATTATATTTTGGTGCCAAGTATATTAGTCTATGGTTAGATGATAGTTGAATAAAATAATACAACAATGCTTTTATTGACTATAGCTCACTTGTCAAGGTCTATTGAATGGGTGTGACTGTTTGATAACTAATGGAATTCAACGCGGTTGAAAAATCATTAAGAAATATTATATAGCAAGCCAATGTGTCTTGTCATTTGTTAAAATACACGTCAAGGCATCTGTTTGTCTTAGTACCTTATAAACGTAACTTTTACTTAGAAAAAACGATTTTGTGAAATTAATAAATACCTCAACGTATCATTGTTATAAATTTAAGTTCTTACTAATGGAAAAATGTAATTTAAAATTGTTAAATTGCTCAACCGCTTAAATAATAAAATAATTTAAAAAAGTATATTTGCTGCAATAAAAATGTGTTTTAGAAAATTAATTTCCTAAAATGTATCAAGTTTATAAAATGTGTGGGTGCAATATGGTATATATAACATAATAATAATTATACTTTCAAGTTGTAAAGTAATTATTTGCTCAATATAACTTCTAAATATAATATATTGAGATAAATTAAGTTTTATTTTCTTTGTATTAACTATTAGGTACTTGCACTACAATAAACATCAAAATATTAATTTTGATTTTCTTCAATATTTAACTTTGAATT